TCGGAGGAGGAGTTTCTCTCTTTCTGGTCTTGGGCGCCAGCGGTAAATTATCTCAGTAACCCCGAGTTTTCGTTTACCTGGCGATTGGCTCAGAATCAGCTGCCTCTCAATGACAAGGCCTTCATATGGAGCTAGTGGGTTTGCCAGACTGCGAACGGTGTGACCTTGGTTTATAAGAAACGACTTCGCACGCTTTCTACCATTGTCCCCGTGTCCACCCCTTATGGAACCATGTCGGCGAGGTTAACGGCTCGTCTCGCTCCCGAAAAACTCGTGCTCATTGATCGCGCAGACGCGTGTGACAATGTATCCCCACCCCCGTATTCTGGGATGAAACGAATAGTGTTTCTTACGCTGCTGGCCACAGCCCGAATGGGGATTTGAACGACGCGACAGGAGGAAGTCTTGCGAGGCAATCGTCTTTCTCATCAGAATCTAATCCGATTCTTCGAGCATCAGCTCAAAATGAAGATTAGAACTGATAGAAAACGCTTGCATTCGACACTCTTCAGGAAAAGGTGGCTGACTGAGGCGAGATTGGTTCGTTTGAACGGGGCTAGCGTTGATTTTTTTCTTTTAGGTCAACCTACATCACATCGGGGTGGTTTCCTATGGGGCCCTCCCCTTGGTTAGGTTAGACAAGCTTTGTATACCTAGTTAATTTGAGTAAGTGTTGTTCCTGGCCTGTTCCCGGCTGCATCTTTGGTTATGATCCAAGTCGAGATTCCCAACCTCCCCAGTTTGTTTTTAGCCCCCTTTTTCATCTCGACTGGGTCTGCTTTTATATCTCCCATGCCTGTATATATTTTCCTCTTTTCCCAATCCCTTAGCGAGAGAGCTTCTTGATTTTGTCAATGGGCAGAATACAGCAGCCTCTCTTTTTGAGGGTTGGATGGGCCCTACTAACATCAGTTATTTTGTATTAATATTTTGTTTGTTATTGGGTTCATCTCCCTTCCCTCTCACATTTAATCATTCATAAATTTTTATATATACATTTTATTATCATAAAATGTTTAATATCACGGGGCGTGTTTTGTAGGTCCCCCTTGAGAGGATGCGGTATTATGGTGTGTGGAGGATTGATTGATGACAGACGAGTTTTTATGGTGAAAGCGAAAATTTTAATGTGTGAATTGGTTGTGAATCAGATTAGCTAGGTATAAGATAGTGTCGATAGGCCTCAACCCCTCCCTTTTTGGGCCACGTGCCGTAATTGTATATACAATAAATAACAATAAAATGTATAGTAAAGAAAGAGACAGACGGAAGTTGACCACTGATTACGTGTCGTATAACAACATAACCCAATACAACAGTGCCAGACGTAGCAACTCGACAGGAACGTTCCCGGTTTCGAGAGCCACGAGGAGAGCGAGTATCCAACCGAACTTCTTCGTTGAAAAGGGAGAAACCTTTCATGTGGTGTAGCGTTCCTTGCTGTGCATAGAAGAGTTCGTAGGGAGTACAGAGGCGCATGGAGGAGATTCCCCACTCAGTGACTGAGCATTTGAAGTTCACGGCAGGCAAATGTACCGTTTTCAAAATTATTCTATTATATCTTGAACATTTCTAGTTACCCTAGAGGTGATACGGTGTCGTTCTGCTTGTGACCACCCCTCGTTCGTGTAGGAATTGTCCCAGCTGCTCTGACATGAAAGAGGCTCCACAGTCCGAATGAATATATACTTGAACCTCGAAAATAGCTAATAAGGATCATAAGCACTGTATGACTGCGTTTGCTTGCTGTCCAAGCAGAGAAATACGAATGAGAATCACGAATATTCAGCATATATCGATTGCTCGGTTTGAATGGTAGAGGGCCTTTAAATATTCAGTCTCTGAAATAATTGGGTGGCTTTTATGAGTGTACCTAATCTAGGTTTGAATTACTGTGCTTTTTGTTCGGCAATTTTTAACGTCGTCTCTGGAATATGGTCATTTTCTGGTCCGTACTACATGGACCATCCTGGTTATGCCTGAATGTCATATTTCATTGTGTACGACACAGAGATCATTTGCGCTGGACATCGAGCTACACACTCTTGATAGTTACGTCTACCGTGGCATTCTATTTACTAGGACGATATGTCACAAGAAAAAACAGGAAAGTTCAATTTTCCATCTTGCTATTTTTTCACTTTTATTTTATTTGCTGTTCAGGTATTAAATATGAGCGCGACAGACTTTTGGTCGATAATGAGTCTAAAATGTCACCCAATTAGGTAGTGCCTCCATTTTTACAATGCCTCTATTATGGCGTACACCTCTTTCTCGACTGCTGCATGTCACTGTTCAGAACGAGACGATTTAAAAAAAAAAAAGCAACAGGATGGCACAATCAAATGCATCTATCTCCACCACCAAAGTGACAACAGAGTCCATTGCAACAATTGCGGAATTGGCTATATCCTTTTTGAGATTTTAGAAAACCTCAATTATCGCGGATAACATGGGGAAAATATTCGTTTATATCAATGAGCGTATCTTATCTGAGAAGGTCGCGATCCATTCAGAGTAATGAGCAAACATGTCCATAGCTTGTCGAAGAGCACGCATATTAAACAGAATTGACAACTTCAGTAGGGGTTTAACTGTTCGGGATCCAGTGTCATTGCTCACAGTGTACCCCAGTAAGTTAATAGTGTCCACGCAAAAGGAACATTTATCATTATTTAGTGTGAGGTTATGTTTTACCGCTGCCATAAATCTTTTAAGTATGCTATTATGATTGGAGTGATTGAGCCCGTACACTGTTACGTTGTCGATGTAAGCAAAAGCGCCTTCCAGCTTTTCAATGCTAATAATTCTGTCGATAATTCTATGGAAGCTCGCGGCGCCGTTTGTTACTCTGAACGGTATCCGTCAAAACTGGTAGAGACGACCATTTACCTTGAAAGCTGTGTAGGGCCAATCTTCTAGTTTGATTACCACTTGGTGATAGGTACTCCTAAGGTTCAGCGTGCTGTATACGCTATATTTTGCAATTTCGCTTCCCTTCTCATTAATACGGAGCAATGGGTAAGTGTCCAATAGGTTAAACATGTTTACGGTTTGCGAGTAATAGATTACCGGCCTCTTTTTTGTGTCTCGGAGGATGTTATCAATACCTGAACACTCTATAGAGAATTACTTGGTTCGATGATTATATCGCTAAGCATTCGTATAATATCTGATTTAATAAACTGTTTGTAGTCCGGAAAATATCTTCTGTATTTTATTGCTATGGGCTTGCACTCAGGTGTTTATTGAACAGCGACCGGTACTGAACATTAATTGCCGTTAGGCCGCAAATGCTTAGAGCCGGTTTCGATCCCCCAAAAGTATATGAAATTTATAATTTGCATAGACATTCCAGCAAAAGAATGACGAATAATAAAGAATCAATTTTTGAATTATTAACATTAAATTCCTTATATCTGTTTACAGGCCTAAGCCACCATCTTATTTTCTTTAAACACATTTTCTATGTCACTATAAATAATATTATATTAATTTTTAATAATGCAAAATATTATTATTGATTAATACAGGTTTGCTCTCATGTAATCTCACTTAGAAAACAACCCTCAACCTCAAGTAAATAAATCTAATATTGTCGTAAATATGAAAATGGTGAAAATGAAAGAGTGACAGTGAGTTCTCACATTTAGAAGCTTATCTGATGATCACCTCAATGTGAAAATGTAGTAGTCACGTTTACATCTCATTCACCTTCCACGAATATATATATATATATATATATATATATATATATATATATATATATATAAATTTCTAACTTTTATCTAATTCTTCCATAAACCTCACCTATCGGGCCCTCAAATCTCCTCTCTCTCTCTCCTCTCGTCTCTGTCGCTTCTTTTTCTCAGTCCCTAGCTTCGCTACCTTTTTTAGGTAATACTGACTTTATGGCTCATCTGATTTTGTTTTCCCTCCTCGGCTAGGGCCGGTGTGTCGAATCAATAGGGTTGATTTGGGCTTCCCAATATCATAAGAAGTCTAGTTTGAACCCGTCTATATACCGTTATTAAGAAGGGATCATTTTCCACTTGTGGCCTTGGTAAGCTTTGTCTCTTTACGTCCCAGGACAACTCCGAAACGGGCTGGAATAAGAACTAAATAAAACTTCAATAAAATGCACAACACTGTTGATAATTCTAGCAACAGGTTTATTGACTATAAAGAAAAACTGGCAAATAAAATGTCTATTATCTACTGAAGGACTAAGTTCTTTATTTGCCGGGTGGTGACTTCGTAATTTAGCAATAATTTTTACAAAAAATACGTGTGCCTTAGTTTTCGCTTTGTTCTCTGAAAATACTGGTGTGTTTCTTGTGTCTAATGACTCCTTGTTGGCTGATTTCTCGTCTGTAAAAGATATGTTTTTTTTTTTTTACTAAAAAGCCGGATATTAGATATCATTGGCAATTTTCATTTATTTCGTTAAAAATACATAAATGCCACACTCTTCTGCATAGTTGGATTTTGCGGTAAAATATCGTAGAAGTGTAAATTACTAACTAGTCATAGAACATTGGTGAGATTGGTTGATTTTTCGTCATGTCAACATTTCATGAGTTATGTCAAATGTCAAACTGATTAATAAGTTGCCTCACTATTATTACCCCACGGCGAGGTGCCTAGAAATTTGAATTGCATTTGTCTTTTTTCTTATTTTCAGTAAATGAATATTATTTATTTATAATATTTTTTTTATTCGTTGACACTCATCTGTTTTTATTCTGTTTATGATAACAAATAGGATGCAAACAATTAAGTTGTTGTGTGAAGCTAATATCCTTGACAGAAAATATCTTAATTTGCGGATCCTGCAAATATAAAGAACACTTATACTAAAAGACGTTTCCGAATGTACTAAGAAATTAGAAATTACAATACGGATGATGTGGTGAAGGGCCAACTAAAGCGGACCTTACTAAGACTATAAATTTGATTGATAATTCACCCCAGACACCAGTGAGTGTCACTGCTACCAGGACACGCTGACAACATTCGAGTGGAGCTGAGTCCTTTGAGAGAAATCTCCCAAGTCACCACGATGAAATCTATTCTTGTAACTGCGATGTTTGCCCTGATCGGGTTTAGCTTAACATCCTCGGCTTCTCTGAATTTGGGTGATAACGAAGTGCCAGAATCAATGGAAAGTATGTATAAATCTTTTCTATTTATCTTCTGATATATCTACCTACAATCACTTACAAAAAATGAAAGAGGTTGATTTCATTATTTTGTTGCCTGTAAGCTAAAAATATAATCCATCATCAATTTTTATAAAAGACACATACACCAAAATAGATTAATATTTTATATAACCAAAATTAGCAAGATTCAAATGTTCACTTCTGCTAAGCATTGAATCTTGCTCGGTTTACAATCCTTCGCCGTCTTTTGAAAAGTAGTACAACTTTATCCCTTGTTTTCTATTGAGGATTGGGTTTCCGCTTCCTTCTCCTAAAGTCTTCTCATTGTCTTTCAAATCTCGTAATCCCTTGCGTTTTTAGTGGCATTATCGCCTTGCTTGAAATAAAATGATTAAATAACAAATTCTTTTCCATAAAACCAACGAGTAGAGAAACCCATTCTATAAATTATCCTTGTTAATTATCAAAGCTGTTCCCTTTGATTGTTTGATTGTAAAATATTCCAACTGTTCTCATTTTGTTACATATCTGGTGATTGGCCAAAATAGAAAATGATTTCAAAGTAGTTTTTTGTCTACCATGTTTTTGTGAAACAAACAGAATGGCAAGACGCATTGTCCTGTTGCAAGACAACATTTCATCACGATGAAATCTCTGCTTGTGGAAATAACTTGATATTTTGAAGGGCTATTTCATGCTTTATTATTGGTGAAACCACTTTAGAAAAGAATGTCCTCCGTTACAAATTATCTTTCTACCTCATTTGAGATTCGCAGCCAATTAGACTTATATTAGCCACGGACTCATTTGTTACACCTTTCAGAAGCAACGCTAAACCAACTCAAACCTGTTTTATTTAAGTAACATGCGAAAGCTAACATTTGTCATTGTCTTTGTAATACTTAAATGATAGCGTCAGTATTTGATATTTCCTGGTCACCAGACTAGTTTTTGACAATTCTTCTGAACTGAAAACACTGTTAAGATAATTTTTAAGCAATTATTTTTTGTTAACAATTTTAAATTTCATGGCGATTTTAAATCCCGATCTATAAATTTGATTGCTAACAGACACCAAATGTAATAACAGCTATTGAAACACGATGTAAAATTATATTAATATTTATAATTAATTGTAGTCGTGTTTTATAATCAAAAACGCCCGAATTGTCAAGATGAAATCGTTTAACATTGCAATGTTTTCACAGATCGGATTTATCTAAGCAGTAGAATTTAATTTCGGGGAGAGGAAGAATACAATACTGCGATCTTGCAATTTATGTCTACAAATAAGTAAGCAGCGACACTAGAAAGACACTAATATTCATTAATATACATCGATATATTGGAGATATTTTTATTTAACTTTTCTTGTGTTCGTATAAGTGTTTTCTTTTGTGGTCATAAAGTATGGAAATATTGTCCAAATATTTTATGTATGCGAGCGCTTTCGGGTTTGTTTTTTTTATTTTTAATTAAATATGTAGAATTTTATATGCTTCTAGAGTGATGAGAATTTTTTTTTTCAAAAACGGTCAGCACATTGTGGCCGTGTTCATAGTTGATGTTATTGAGTCTTGCCTTTTTTTTCTTTTTTATTATTAGCGCTTCCATTATTTTATTTCTTTTTATTCAATTATTGTACATGTGGATGAGGCTATTATACTTATAATTGCTGCAACTATGCTGCAGAAGGAGTTTGGTAGGTTTCCGTGTGTGTTAAAATTAAGCGTTAATTGAGCAAGCAGGAGTCATTCAAATATACATGGAAACCTACCAAACTGGAAACGACAAAAGAAATTCAAAAGAAAAACCAAGAATCAGTCAGTAATCAGTGTGTGTGTGTGTGTGTGTGTGTGTGTGTGTGTGTGTGTGTGTGTGTGTGTGTGTGTGTTGTAGTTAGACAGCAAGAATTTATCCAGACGAATCCTGTTATGTTCAGTTATTGTATTTTTACAAATTTCGAAAAAGATATTCTATATCGGTACCAATATTTTGGATACAGTTGCCGAAGTTCATGTATTCTTCTATTTTGTTCGAGTATTTTCGACCTTGTTAGTCATTATAAAAAAATGGTCATTATCAGTGTTAGATACAAAAATTTTATTAGCTCCATCCTGGTAATTTTACAACGATAAAATCGGAATGTGTTTAAATTGACATATTGTAAAAAGCACAATAAAAATTTGACAGACTTCATCGGATGAATTTAACAAAAAGTTTTTCACGATACGTGTGTGTGTGTGTGTGTGTGTGTGTGTGTGTGTGTGTGTGTGTGTGTGTGTGTGTGTGTGTGTGTTGTGTGTGTTCAAGATCATAGACCATCGCCTACATGGACAGATATTTCATATGTTTTTTTTTTTTTCTCCTTAAAATTTATGAAATATTTTCCTTAATCTATATTTGTAATAGATTTACTAAAATTTCCTAAATGATCTTTATTCTTAAATACGTTGGCCGAAATTCTGAAGAGTATCATTGTCATTATTTTATAAACGATTCAAAATAGTATCCCTTGCTGCTTTATTTTGTTAAATTTTTATCCCATCATCTTCATATAAATACGACTATGTTTAATTAACACTTCCCCAGCCGAGTTAAACATAAATTGGTGAGTGTATTTGTTTTCAATTTACAATAAAATCGATATATGAACATGTGTATTTTCATTCCTTCTTTGTAGATTTTAAAGAAAATTTCAAAACATTGTTTGGCGAAATGATCAAACAAATAAAAGAAAATGCTGCCTTCGATGAGAACACAGATTTTGAGAAGTTTACTCAGGAAAACAAGATGGATGATAACGAGGTTTCCATTGCAGAAGAGGTCACAACTAATGATCTTTCGGTCGCTGAAAAAGAAATGTCCACAGAAAATGTTGAAGGAGGCATGCATTGTCACTGGAGTGGTTTGACTGCTCACTGCTGCCAAATGGTGCCATTTCACATATTGAGATTAGCAGGTAACTTTCAATGGTTCTTGTAGTTTATAATAGGATATTTTATATGCTTTTCTAAAACTGAAATTAGATAAAAAAATTTATAGAAGAATATATCTGAAAATGTGGCAAGATTGAGAGAGATTTCTATAATCATATTCGGAATTTTTCTTTGAAGCATAATTAAAATACTGTTAAAACAATATTTGCATCTCAAAACATTGAAAATTATCATTAAAGGGATAAAACATTTTACCAGTTTCAATTCGATTGTTTTTTATTAAAAAGACGAGATATTTTAGCAGTTTCAATTCGATCACCATGATCGTAAATTTTATTTTAATGTAGAACGTCCATCAAACCATTACAAGAACGTTTATATCATAACATTGTTGTGGTCTAAATAATTTCAAATCTTCTTCGAAGCTTTACTTCTTAAAATCTCATCTCAACGTTATGTGAGGTGACTCCCAGTCCGCTATTCATTATTATTATTAACAGTTTATAACAGTTTCATGCTAAATTTTTCCATTATATTCATTCGGCTAATAGTTCTTAAACGAACAAAATGCTAAATAATTTTTTTTACCATTATCCATGACGTCGACTTTATCCCAACGGTCGCAGCGTCGACTCTGTCGTTCGATCTCGTTCGCGGCTCCAAGTGTGACGTTCTAACCCTTTGGTTAGATGATTACCAGCCTCGTCGTTCCCAACTCGCTTCCAACGCCTGGTTACTAGGGTAACTGTACTGATCTCCGGTCTGCCTACCCACGTTGTGATTAGATCTTAGACAGACGGGATCAAACAGGGATTGGGGCCGTATGCAAGCTGAGTTCGACGGGGTGATAACACAAGAAAAAGAAAAACTCACGAGGCCAAAAATTACTGAAAAAAAAGGGTAACAACCTTTTATATTTAAATGTTCGTTACATAAAAATTTTTCCTACTTCCCGACCTGTTTTGTGGACTGTGGCACCAAGCTTCTACCATATAACTTAAAGACTTCGAGTTGCCTACTTTCTAGAAATTTGCATGTCGGGGTGTGGTTTGGTTTCGACACTGGGCGCTGATCTATACCAGTCGTTCACGGCTGGTTCTTCTCGCCGTCAGTGCGCGAATCGACTTCTTCTATTCGGCTTGAGTTGGACGAGCTTATTCACTTCGGCTTGAGTTGGACGAATTTTTTCACTTCGATTTGGGTTGGACGAATTTCTATTCTTAGGTTTGGTTTGGACGAATTTATTCACTTCGACTTGTCTTGGACGAATTTTCTCTTCATAGGCTTGGTGTGATTCCAACTCCAACTGCAACTTCTTCTCGCCAAGGTCCGAACTCTTTCCTCTGCCGTCCCGGGCTGAACTGATTTCTGTCGATTGGGGTCCTGCTTTTATTGACGCCGCAACAAACTGGGGTGGGTCTGTCGGCGCCAGGGTTTTCTTGATAATTCCAAAAGTCGCATTATTTCTGATTTCCCATTATCGCTCTTACTTTCACCCCTACTTCCTCACAGTGCCTCTGGGGTGGGGGGGCGCATACCCATTTCCCCTGGTCTCACGTATGTCAGGTGACCGTTTTCGACTAATGGGTCCTGGTCGAGCGTCCTTTCTCCTCCCTCGCACATCACGTGACCGCTCTCGGCTAATGAGATTCTGGTCGGGCGTCTCTTCTTCCTTCGTGACGTCTCCAATCGGGCGTGGTCAATCCGGGGCTTTGTTCTGGGGAAGAAACACCTTGCCAAAAAAAACAAAATCCAATTTGGCCTTTTTCGCACGCACGAAAATGACAATCTCGGCTTTCCTCACATTTGGCCTTTGTCAAAACAACCCGCCGCTAATTAGATGTGACTTCAGGAAGAATTTTTCTCGTCCTGCCGGCGCCCTCTGTGAGCTAAAACAATTGCTTTCATTTCTTTCTTTCGCTCCGGCCTGTTAATAGAATCTTAATTATCTGAATTGAAAATATCTTCACTTATCATCGTGGGGGTTCTTATCTTCAACTCTAGAGCTGGTCAGGATCTGTATACAATTCCAGCGGTCACCTCTCATCTCAATGACACCCTTTTTCGATTGTCACTTATTAATATTTCTTTTTCCATTGTTCTAAAAATCCCATTTCTCCAACCAAATTGACAAGAAACTCCCACATTCCGCGCACACGAAAGTAGGTCAGGTGTTCTGACCGATATCTGGTATTTTATCAATCGTCCGTCTTGATATCATGTCTTTTCCCTTTCTTTCTTTTTATTATCTCTAAACTCTATTCTTTCAAATAACAATTTCTATTGTTCGTGAATTTCGGTCAGGCGCGTTGGCCTAGATATCTCTTGACACCTGTTTTCGCTTATGACCGGGTTTTGTATTATCTATTCCTCTTTCTCTTTCCTTTTTTCTTTCTTTTTTTTTTTTTTTTTTCTTCTTCCCTTCGGATCGCCTAAATACAGTTAGAGAATTATTCTCAAAACTCAATTATTTTTCGTCTCTAAATAAATATTAACTGGTTAATAAACCGAATAAAAATTAAATCATATTTCTTTGGATATCTCTTTTTAGTTTTTCTAATAATGCAGGGTGCCACAATTATATTCATTCCTAATGCTAATAATTACTCGTAACGAACAAAATGAAAGATTATACATACTAATAATTTTTCTTTTCTCTTTCAGTCTGTGTTAAGGCCCAAATTCATCCATCAACTGGTATGCGACTTTATCTTTACATCAACGGACATTATCTTTGGCAACACTGGATGCGTAAGTGTCAACACAAAATACGAAAATGCATTAGATTAACGTTTATAAATTAGTATTGACTACAACTATAATAATAATAACAATAAATAGATGCTGACTATAATGACTTAAATTCTGCGTCGAGTAGGACAGAAACGTAATAAATGCTGACGTAATACTAATATTCGCGGAAAGAAGGTACACAACAACGTAGCGGAGAATTATTTACTAATTTCATCTTAATCTGACACAAGAGCAAACGTGTAGAGTACCTGATGGTGATGGAATATGTTCCATAAATTAACGGATTACCAAGACACGTTTGCTAAACATCAAATTTCAATTGACAACAGAATAAAGTCACAAGTATGGATCGAACTTGAATTTGCAATTGTTTTCGACATTAACACGCTATTATATTATATACGATTTTTATATGTGCCCTGTCTTTCCAGTACGTGGAGGATCATAGCCCTCCATAACTTCCTATTCATTGTAGCTCTAATCAATGTTTATCCTCTTACTATCTTTCCCAGTACTCCTTCTGTCATCCATTTACACGAAACTTATTACTTAGGTTATTAGATGTTTTCCTTTTCACCGGTCGTCAGTATGCCCAGTGAGTATCAGATTCTCCACGTCTTCTTTCCTCATTATCTTCCCTATAAATTTAAATTGTCACTTTCTGATTCTAAGTAGAATTGTTCTTTTTGTTTCCATTTTACTTGAAATATACTCGTTAATCACATGTTTTATCCATTGTATTCTCAGCATCCTTCTGTAGAATCACATCTTCTCTTCATCCGTGAGGAAACTGTTCAGTACTCACAGCAGTTCAACATTCGTTTCTTTGTTTCTAATTAAATTTTCCTGTAATTCTTTTCTTTCTTTTTTTATAGAAAATCACCACCATTATCGCGTTTGTTTTACTGCTCGACATTTGCGAATATGCTTCACATTTACCCACGTACATATTTCTCGTCACTACGCCAATGTGTGTATAAAGTTCTTTGGAAATTATCATCACGCGTGGTCTCATAGATATATCGGATGTCTTTCCAGACATTATGCTCAGGATTCCATTGCGACTGCTGAGGAAACTCCAATTCAACACACCATGGATGAAGACAATGACGACGTCATCTCATTTTCCAGAGAAAACAAACAAACCAAAGATTTCTTCGCATTCGAATAATTACAACCGACTTTTCGAGTCGCTTTCGTCAGTTTGATAAATGCTAAGAGTTGGTTTCGGATTAAAAGAAAAAGTAATGCCCTATTGAGTAAAAAATCTTAAAAAATGAACTTTCCTTGGTTTTCAAGCACATGTATTACGCACACAAACAAACACACACGACCGTGCGTGCGTGCGTGTGTATGTATATACATATATCCCAAATAATCAGTGATGAAATAATAGTCACAGAATTATCAGATTTAATGGATTCTGCGAATATTGTATTTTTAAAATAAAATTGTTTTACTTTTTAGCAAACAGTCTTTCTGCGTTATCTGATAACTTCCTACTTATATGCTATTTACCGTCTCTTTATTTTGTTTCTTCTTTCTGCTAATGACAGAATTCAAATCTCTAATCACAAGATTCGTAGATTTTTTTTCTAATCGAGTTCACCATAAGCAAGGCAGTAAAGCCACCAAGACACGAGGGGCCACTGAGTGTGAAAGAATTTGTAAAAAGAAGCATTACTAATAAGCGCAAACAAAAATAAATAAATCGGGAGGACGATAGATAGCGATTGATATTCCATTGAAATTTTTGAAGATTAAAGTAGACTGGAAAGCATGGAGCCGGGAAAGAGTTCTACAAGCGAGAAGTACGAGAAATTTCTAGTCTCGTACTGCGCTTAATTTCATAAAGTCTAAGTAACATTACTATGAAAGTATTTATAGAAAAGGCACAGAGCGGCAACTTTACGGTGGTGGGAAAGTTACTGAAACCGAGACGCCAGATTAGGACCAATAATATTGCTGATTCTTCTTTGCATTTTATCAAGAATCTCTAAATATATAGCAGGGGACCACATGTGGCAGAATATTCTAAGTGTGGAATAATGCTAGACCTATAGATATGTAAAATATTTTTTGAAGAGAAAAATTGCTTAGCACGCCACAGAAAATATAGATTCTTATCAGCTGACCTAGCAATGGATTCAATGTAGTCTTTCCGCTTTATTTCATCCAAGAACTTTAGCCTAGGTAGGCGCAACGAGTCCCTATCCTGGAACTTAAGATCAACCATGCTGATAGAAAGCAGAAAGGGGTCTCTAGAATGATTAATAGAGAACAGTTTAGTTTTGGTGACGTTAAGATTGACAAGCCATCTTTTGCCCTAGTTAACAACAGACTGTAGGTCGTTTTTTACATCAGTTGATAATTTCAGTCTATCTGACTGATTAAACTTACTATCGAGACAGGAGTAAATGGTTGTGTCATCAGCATAGATACCATAACTGATGCCACCGGGAAGGTGGGTAATAAAAATAAAAAACAAAATTGGACCAAGTATAGAGTTCTGGGTAACACCTGATTTAATAGAAAACGATATAAAAGAGTAGGTCTTTAGGATAACATTCATTTCACGATTTGACAAGAAAGACTGAATCAGTTTAAAAAAAATGACTGGAGGCACTGTAACTTTTCATATTGTATAGTAGACCTATTTACTAAAACCCTGTCGAAAGCTTTCGGTGTGTCGCAAGCAACATCCCGAATTTCACCATTCTTATATAGAGCTTTATAGACTGTTTCCGCAATTATCGTCGGTACATCAGCAGTTGATTCAAGGAAAACTCAGTTCATTGAACTCACAAACATTAAGTCACCAAATTTATGTTTTTAATGAATATTTTTGAAAATAATTAACTACACATAAAATTCATATCCAATTTGACAGCTCATAAAATAACTTTGAAATTATTTAATGAAGCTTCTTTTTATTTCTATTTATTTTTATTTTATGTTCTTCCTGTTTTTATAAATGTCATGTCTCTTCAGAAATTAGGAGATTATATCTTTTCAGAGATTAACCTTTTCTGTTATCTGTGAATTGCTAAAACTTCTTAGCGAAGATAAGGATGTGACTTCGTATTACCTTCTTCACGGTTTTGGATTTACAAGTGTCTTTTTCCAGACTGGCTGTAACCAAAGGTTCGAATCCTTGTTTACCCTGCTATTTAAACCATGGATTAAGAGGAAGAAGATATTTATTCATACCTTCCCCAATAGCATTTGTATAATAGTTAACGCAACAAACTTAGCCGTAAACTTGAACATGGATAGCCGATTCTGTTTCGCGCTGATGACCATTATGTTACATATACATAGAATCAAATTGTAAAGGCATTTGTAACTTGTTTGCATTACCCCCATCTAGCTTTATAAATTCTCTCTCTCCTTATCTCTCTCTCTCTCTCTCTCTCTGCTCATTGATACTGAAATCTTTTCCTAAAATAATTTTTCTTTGAGTCTTATTGCAAATTCTATTTTCCTATTAAAATGACGAAAAAAGGTTCGCTTTTTAATAAAATTATCTATAGAAGAAAACATTTAATCCGTATGATTACTTTGTTTATGAAATAGGCAAAACAAATTTGGGAAAGTGTGCGTTATTTAATGTCTTGTTCAAACTTTTATGAACACATCGTCTTCCTTCTATGCAAAATTTCCCTTTACTTTCAGCTGTTTCCTTCATAATAAACATCATGATAATACACACAAGAGGCAGCAATGAGCAAATCTTTCCAGTGCAATTTCTTCAGTAATTTATACACTTATACAACACTACTTTTTTCAACACTAGATATTTAAAGAATGAATTAGATTAGGTACCAGCACTGAATTTTCCAGACGTAATGTTTAAAATGATTTTTTAAAAATGAAAAAAAGAATTCTTGATTTCATTTTAGCTTTAATTGAAAGCTAAATGTTTAAATTTACTATTTCCTCTAAGTAAAATATTCGAGTTTACTTTAAATAGAAATGATACAGATCGAAATCTCAACTTTTGACCGATTTCAGAAAATCTTCGTACAAGCGGCAATTTTCTTAACTTTAAGAAATTTGTAAACAAAACAAAATTATTGGTTATAAAAATCTTCCAAAAGTAATAGTTCTTTCTGACACGTTATTTGAGTAACATTAACAAATTTAGTTAAATTACTCTCGTTTGAAAGATATATTACTTATTTATAGCAGAAAAATAGTATACAAGAATTTCTTAACAATGGGTTCTATTTTTCAAATGTCTTTATTGACGTTATCGACATTATCAATAAGTTACGAGGTGTTGACAACGAGTATAGATGACCAGAATTAACATAAATTTACGAAATCTAAGTAAACGCATTTTTTTCGTATTTAACTACCTAGTAATTTTCACAAATTAACATATTTTCAGCAATTATCTAATATTTTATTCACTTTTAATTACGACTGAAGCTGCTTTAGGCAAACAGAATAAAATTTAGAATAATATAAAATTTTCTTCGATTAATTTTAAAATTTAATAACTGAGATGAAATACAATGATAGAGGTAAAAATCAATAATTTATGAAATCTTATTTTATTTATATTAATTGTTATCATGATGATTAGTTTAGCATTCAATTTTTATAGTACTTTTATTATTTTTACCCAATACTCTAAACAATATTTAAAAGAAATTGCAGCTATGTGTAATGGAGTAAAGACTTTCGGAAATATTTTGTTACCCTGAAAATGGCCGTTTTTTATCTTCCATTGGTTCTTCCTTCATCACTATTTCTGGGTTGATTTCGAAACAATCCCTGCATAACATAGTCAACACAAACGTCGTATTTGTTCAATTGATAGCAGTCAGTTACATCATTGAGATATAAAATCGTATAAAATGTATTTGCAAAACTAATGATGTAACCGACGTATTCAAGATGACACCATCGATTGTTCAAATATGTCTCATTGAACGTCCAAATATGAGCCCAGTGAGTATTTCATGCAGGACTTGTGCACACTCTAGATACCCAAATGCCAAAGAAGAAACTGACAGATCTTTGTGTTCCTTTAGATTTTTCTGGATCAAGGTTCTTCTTTTTTGCAGCTGGACATCCTTAGCCTTGATCCTTATACCAATTTCTTCTTTGACTTCTTGTTGCTGCATCTTCTTCATCCCAATCTGCTATACATCAGTGTCAACTGGAAATATTCCTGGAACTGTTCAATATCCAGATCATCGATGAATTTCCTTACTTGATTTCGCTTGGCCTTGATCACATCGCTTATGCTTGATACATAAGCATTGGGCACAAGATTCTGTCATTCACAAAATTCACCGATGATGCTTTCAGTTAACATGGTGTGCTGCATAAACGATGTTAAGATTAACTTGGAAGAAATCTCTACCATAGTGAATGTTTCTGCATACTACCTTCTTAAAACTTCCGCAATCCCTTTTAAACAGATAGTTATCATTTGTCGAAATAAGAGTTCATTTACTGGCGCAAGCAGTAGGGACTCTATCACGTTCTTTCGTAATATATTTCCAACGAAATCTTCTATGGAATTGGAAATAGGCATGGTGTCCTCGGTGAGTACCTTCAGATTGTCAATGACCTCCTTGACAATGTTAATAGTGTCGATGGGGTGTCTCTGGGTATTTACACTAGTATAGAAGGTAATCATCCAAAACCATAGCATCTTCCCTATGATTCCAAACACTCGCATCTCGACAATAGCGGCTTCTTCTGTAAATATCAACCACAATGTTTTGATTGTCTTACTTGTTGAGGAAAGTCCCAAGACAAATTGATTGCATTGTTCGAAAATGGGAAAATAAGTTGCACGTTGATTGAAAATTTCATGTAACCGATTCCCTTGGAATCTAGTGATATCGGGCCATGGAAATCCTTGTTGTTCAATAAAGGTCATCAACATTGAAATAAAACCAGATTTATCACTATATCTATATCTAAAGTAATTGAAAGCTACAAGAATTCGCCATGCTAGGCACTCACTCACATTTCCATTTCCTTCGCAATTCCTCAGGATCTTTGTCGTCTTTGTTACAATATGGACAGATGCAACTTACAGTACATTTCAACAAGTTTAACCTGTCACTCCTTTTCCAATAACGAAACCATTGAATGGTTGACGAGAGTTCAGTCTGTTAAGCAGCATTTGATCTTCGAACGTATGAGTTTTAAACTGGCATCAACACTTATGCCAGTAGACGGTGAGCCTACTTTAGCTAAGTTATTGATGCAATCACAAATATGCTGCTTGTAGTCCATCGCAGTTTCTCCAGAAAAAAACATTCCAGTGACACAAGATAGGAGGATGATGGTGTTGTCAATACCACACAGTTCACATGGTTGCCATCTTGTGTCGTAGAAACGAAAACTAAAGTGCTTTTTTCTGCACTTCGCACAACACGGAACGTTTTCACATCTGAAAGGAAGCCAAGCTCCCCTACCATTCTATAAACCGTTGTGAAACTTTTTTTTCCAAAGAGCCGTGTTCCATGGACAATGTTTTCGAAACAGATATTAACAGTTCAAAAACACGAGGAGCAGGAACTCCATTTAAAAGACAGTCATAATGAAATTTTCTGTTAACGAAAGAATGGAATTTTTCATTTTGTAGTACTTTTAATTTTTTGCCCATTGATGAAATTCTTTGGTTTTTCTGTGTCAACACTTTTCTAAAACTTGTAATTTTACTAAATGTGAATAAAGGAATGGCAGATGCACACTGGTTAGAAGTTTCATGAGAGACGTTAGAAATTTCACAAGACAGGCTAGAAGTTGCATCAGACAGGTTTGCAGTTGCATCAGACAGGGTTGCAGTTGCATCAGACAGG